TGCTGCTAAAGCAGAGTAGGAATGAATGGCTGAGGCACAGATGGAGCAGGGGGATGTGTTGATACTTCAGCACCTATTAAGGTAGATCTTTATTTCCCTTCCTTCCTCTTCTGGGAACAATCAAAGCCAAGTTTCCCTAGATTTCTCTAGGTTTAATTGCAGCAGGAAAAATAAGAAAAGCTTATAACAACAGATGCCAAGGGCCCACACATCTATAAATTAGTTTTACTGAGAAGGCAGTGCAAGAGTTTTTAGCAGATTAGATACACTTCAGATATCCTTATTTATTTAGAGAGAAACATATACACATACACAGGAAAACTCAGCTACAAGAATGATAGCATTGTGAGCCAAATACTAAAATGTTAGCAAATGCCAGAATTTGGATTGCCTGGGCATGATTAGCTCCTTCCCCCTCCTCAAGTGTAGGCACGATGACATCATTCTGGAATTTCCTCCCTCTTGAGCGCTTGGCCTCATTTCTGGGTGCTCAACAAGAGACACCTGGGGCCTGAAATGCAGAAGAGCTGTGAGCTGAAGTCAACTGGCCTCATGCTTTGAGTGGGGAAAGTGCTAGGGAAATGCTACGCGTGCAAAAGCTCCCACATCGCTCTCTCTCAGCTTGCACTGAAGACTGTCAGTCCAACATTTTTGCCCTTTCTCCCTCTGTGCTTCAGTGCTTTTGCATGATGGCAATAATACTGTGAAGATAATAGTATTCTCTCCCTGCACAGATGTGTTCCAGAGCTATTTTAATCAGGATTTGGGGCATATTAAGATGCTGTCATGGGAGCAACAGAAAAACAAAAGCTTGGAAGGGGATTAATGTTTTCTGTGTTTGGTGTAACACTTGGACCATGTATATCAACATGAGATCTGAGGCCAGAGTACAAAATGGAAGAAGATAAAAATCAAAAGGGTTAAAAAACTGCCTCCTGACTGGCTGAAACAAGAATCTGTTAAGGAAAAAAACCCCTACACATTATCATGTAATTAAAACTGTATCATCATACATATTCAAAAGTGCTAATTAAGGATGCCCAAGAAGCCTGCATTTTGGCATATCCAGTGTTGCTTGGCTTTGTAACCTGAATGTTTACTTGCCATAGTTTTTTTAATATTGCATGCTATTTAATGCCAATGTATGCATACTTACACATGTTCATAGTACATTTGCTGTCATACCTAAGCATGGTTATGCATTTGTACATTTGACTGTGCTTATACACATACATTACAGAATAATGGGAAATGCTTCAGCATTCATTTTCCTGCATTTTATTTAAATGTGAAAAAGATAACATTTATTATACATTTACTGGAGAATCAGTGAGTGCCTACATGGGTACTTGTTTTCACAATGTTTTCCACGTCAAGTGCCTACTCGATTGGATGTGCCACTGTAGTAGCTGTCCAGGGAGGTGAAGACGCTTCTGTAGTTCCTGAACAAAAATAGCCTTTCCCTATTTAAAAGTTTATCTGACATTGGGAAGTTTAGAGAAATAATTTTTTAACTGCTTACATCACAATAGTAGGAGTCTTCTGCAAACGTTTGGCCGACACAGAGGTGCTACTAGCATCGGCAGTGTTACACCTTGTTCAGAAGATCTAAATCAGAACCCAGATGTCTATTAGAGGAACCACATGAAAAAGAGCTAGTAATGAAGAAGTGCTGCTGTGTAACACTTCTCCTTTGTAGATCTCAAAGGACTTTGTGAGGAGGCCAGTTTTATTATGCCCATTTACCACGCAGAAGCTGATGGACAGACCCACTCACTGTAGATCACTCAGCAGATCAGCAGCTGAGTGAAGAATAGAGGGTTGGCTTCTGAGTTTCAGCCTAGAGTCCTGCCTATAAAGGCCACCCCCCCTTTTACTGTAAATAAACAATTCCTCAATGAAATTATCATTAAATGTTTAGCTTAAAGATGTTTGTTGAAGCTGGTAGAGCCATACATGGGGTTAATACAGACTGGGGTTAATACTGACTGGCATAGCTGGACCATTTCTTCTTGACTCAGAGTTTGATGACTCTCCAGGCTCTAGGAGATGGTCAATCATTCCTAACACTGCTTTGTTTAACATGATGAAGTAAAAGCAGAGCAATTACTTTCAGCTTGGACTTAGCTTGAAGACTCCTGCTTCTGTTCCAGACCAGAAGTGGTCTTGTCTGTCTAAAAGAAGCTGCTCTAATAAAAACATATGACCTCTCCATACAAACCTGGTTTTGTTTAATCTGCATGTAAACTACTAATTTTTGAACTTTACGGAACTACTAGCTCCATATCAGGCATC